TTATACCTGGTGTAAAGAGATTGTTCTCATTTACGGACCCAACAACAGACTTGACAGAGAGAGATAGTGTTATGTCTTGTGTAAAGAGAGTGTTATCATTGACGGACCCAACGACAGACTTGACAGAGAGAAATAGGGTTATACCTGGTGTAAAGAGAGTGTTCTAATTCACGGACACAACAACAGACTTGATAGTGAGGACTAGGGTTATACCTGGTGTAAAAAGAGTTTTGTTCTCATTGACGGACCCAACAACAGACTTGACAGAGAGAGATACGGTTATACCTGGTGTAAAGAGAGTTTTGTGTTCATTGACGGACCCAACAACAGCTAGACTTGACAGAGAGAAATAGGGTTGTACCTGGTGTAAAGAGAGTGTTCTCATTGACGGACCCAACAACAGACTTGACAGAGAGAGATACGGTTATACCTGGTGTAAAGAGAGTTTTGTGTTCATTGACGGACCCAACAACAGCTAGACTTGACAGAGAGAAATAGGGTTATACCTGGTGTAAAGAGAGTGTTCTCATTGACAAACCCAACAACAGACTTGACAGAGAGAGATAGGGTTATACCTGGTGTAAAGAGAGTGTTCTCATTGACGGACCAAACAACAGACTTGACAGAGAGAGATAGTGTTATGTCTGGTGTAACTAGAGTGTTCTCATTGACGGACCCAACAGCAGAATTGACAGAGAGAGATAGGGTTATACCTGGTGTAAAGAGAGTGTTCTTATTGACGGACCCAACAAAAGACTTGACAGAGAGAGATACGGTTATACCTGGTGTAAAGAGAGTGTTCTCATTGACGGACCCAACGACAGACTTGACAGAGAGAGGTAGGGTGGTTATACCTGGTGTAAAGAGAGTGTTCCCATCGACGGATCTAACAACAGACTTGACAGAGAGAGATAGGGTTATAACTGGTGTAAAGAGAGTTTTGTTCTCATTGACGGACCCAACAACAGACTTGACAGAGAGAGATAGGGTTATACCTGGTGTAAAGAGAGTTTTGTTCTCATTGACGGACCCAACAACAGACTTGACAGAGAGAAATACGCTTATACCTGATGTAAAGAGAGTTTTTACTCATTGACGGACTCAACAACAGCTAGACTTGACAGAGAGAGATAGGGTTATACCTGGTGTATAGAGAGTGTTCTCATTGACGGACCCAACGACAGACTTGACAGAGAGAGGTAGGGTGGTTATACCTGGTGTAAAGAGAGTGTTCCCATTGACGGACCCAACAACAGACTTGACAGAGAGAGATAGGGTTATACCTGGTGTAAAGAGAGTTTTGTTCTCATTGACGGACCCAACAACAGACTTGACAGAGAGAGATAGGGTTATACCTGGTGTAAAGAGAGTTTTGTTCTCATTGACGGACCCAACAACAGACTTGACAGAGAGAGATACGGTTATACCTGGTGTAAAGAGAGTTTTTTTCTCATTGACGGACTCAACAACAGACTTGACAGAGAGAGATACGGTTATGCCTGGTGTAAAGAGAGTTTTGTTCTCATTGACGCACCCAACAACAGCTAGACTTGACAGAGAGAAATAGGGTTATACCTGGTGTAAAGAGAGTGCTCTCATTGACGGACCCAACAACAGACTTGACAGAGAGACATAGGGTTATACCTGGTGTAAAAAGAGTATTTTCATTGACGGACACAACAACATACTTGACAGAGAGGGTTAGGGTTATACCAGGTGTAAAGAGATTGTTCTCATTTACGGACCCAACAACAGACTTGACAGAGAGAGATAGTGTTATGTCTTGTGTAAAGAGAGTGTTCTCATTGACGGACCAAACAAAAGACTTGACAGAGAGAAATAGGGTTATACCTGGTGTAAAGAGAGTGTTCTAATTCACGGACACAACAACAGACTTGACAGTGAGGACTAGGGTTATACCTGGTGTAAAGAGAGTTTTGTTCTCATTGACGGACCCAACAACAGACTTGACAGAGAGAGATACGGTTATACCTGGTGTAAAGAGAGTTTTGTGTTCATTGACGGACCCAACAACAGCTAGACTTGACAGAGAGAAATAGGGTTATACCTGGTGTAAAGAGAGTGTTCTCATTGACGGACCCATCAACAGACTTGACAGAGAGAGATACGGTTATACCTGGTGTAAAGAGAGTTTTGTGTTCATTGACGGACCCAACAACAGCTAGACTTGACAGAGAGAAATAGGGTTATACCTGGTGTAAAGAGAGTGTTCTCATTGACAAACCCAACAACAGACTTGACAGAGAGAGATAGGGTTATACCTGGTGTAAAGAGAGTGTTCTCATTGAGGGACCAAACAACAGACTTGACAGAGAGAGATAGTGTTATGTCTGGTGTAACTTGAGTGTTCTCATTGACGGACCCAACAACAGACTTGACAGAGAGAGATAGTGTTATGTCTGGTGTAACTAGAGTGTTCTCATTGACGGACCCAACAACAGACTTGACAGAGAGAGATAGGGTTATACCTGGTGTAAAGAGAGTGTTCTTATTGACGGACCCAACAAAAGACTTGACAGAGAGAGATACGGTTATACCTGGTGTAAAGAGAGTGTTCTCATTGACGGACCCAACGACAGACTTGACAGAGAGAGGTAGGGTGGTTATACCTGGTGTAAAGAGAGTGTTCCCATCGACGGACCTAACAACAGACTTGACAGAGAGAGATAGGGTTATAACTGGTGTAAAGAGAGTTTTGTTCTCATTGACGGACCCAACAACAGACTTGACAGAGAGAGATAGGGTTATACCTGGTGTAAAGAGAGTTTTTTTCTCATTGACGGACTCAACAACAGCTAGACTTGACAGAGAGAGATAGGGTTATACCTGGTGTATAGAGAGTGTTCTCATTGACGGACCCAACGACAGACTTGACAGAGAGAGGTAGGGTGGTTATACCTGGTGTAAAGAGAGTGTTCCCATTGACGGACCCAACAACAGACTTGATAGAGAGAGATAGGGTTATACCTGGTGTAAAGAGAGTTTTGTTCTCATTGACGGACCCAACAACAGACTTGACAGAGAGAGATAGGGTTATACCTGGTGTAAAGAGAGTTTTGTTCTCATTGACGGACCCAACAACAGACTTGACAGAGAGAGATACGGTTATACCTGGTGTAAAGAGAGTTTTTTTCTCATTGACGGACTCAACAACAGACTTGACAGAGAGAGATACGGTTATGCCTGGTGTAAAGAGAGTTTTGTTCTCATTGACGCACCCAACAACAGCTAGACTTGACAGAGAGAAATAGGGTTATACCTGGTGTAAAGAGAGTGTTCTCATTGACGGACCCAACAACAGACTTGACAGAGAGAGATAGGGTTATACCTGGTGTAAAGAGAGTGTTCTCATTGACGGACACAACAACATACTTGACAGAGAGGGCTAGGGTTATACCTGGTGTAAAGAGAGTGTTCTCATTGACGGACCCAACAACAGACTTGACAGAGAGAGATAGTGTTATGTCTGGTGTAAAGAGAGTGTTCTCATTGACGGACCCAACAACAGACTTGACAGAGAGAAATAGGGTTATACCTGGTGTAAAGAGAGTGTTCTAATTGACGGACCCAACAACAGACTTGACAGTGAGGACTAGGGTTATACCTGGTGTAAAGAGTTTTGTTCTCATTGACGGACCCAACAACAGACAGCTAGTTGTCTCATTGTCACTCATACCACATCTTCTTATTTATATTAACAGAGAGAGATAGGGTTATATCTGGTACAACTCTCCACAAGAGACCAAATGACACAGACATTAACAACTAAAGGTCACCGTACGCACTTCAACAATGAGTAAAACCCATATCGCATAGTCGGCTATAAAAGGCCCCGAAATGACAAATGTTAAACAATTCAAACGAGAAAACTAACGGCCTGATTTATCTACAAAATAATGAACGAAAAACAAATATGATATACAGCATTGTTCTCATTGACGGACCCAACACCAGACTGGACAGAGAGGGCTAGGGTCATACCTGGTGTAAAGAGAGTTTGTTCTTATTGACGGACCCAACAACAGACTTGACAGAGATGGCTAGGGTTATACTTTGTGTAAAGAGAGTTTGTTCTCATTGACGGACTCAATAACAGACTTAACAGGGAGAGGTAGGGTTATACCTGGTGTAAAGAGAGATTGTTCTCATTAACAGACTCAATAAGAGACTTTGTAAAGGGGGCTAGGGTTATATCTGGGGAGTTTTGTTCTCATTGACGGGATCAATTACAGACTTCACAAGGGTGCCAGGGTTATACGTTGTATAAAGAGAGTTTATTTTTGTCGATAATTATGTGATTATTACAAGTACTAAGACGACAGCCTCCTGCCCCACTCACTTCCCCACCCACTACGTACCGCCGAAGTCAATGTGCCTTTATTTGAACCTATGTAAATGTAAGATTTATCAATGTAATTAAAGTTTTCAGCTTTATCTAAACACCAAATCAAACAGGATGATGAACTGTTAAAACGCCATTAAAATAAAAACTGGAATTGATCCAATATGTAAGATTAAGGTCATTTAAAACTATTTGAGATGGATCAAATTTGAGAGAAAGACAATCACATATTTGTCATCGATATGAAAAAAATAAACGAACTTCAATTCTACTTCCCATGCAAATTAAATTCTTTGAAATAACATTCAACGTCAAAGTAGTGTTTTATCATTGAAAATTAAGTTAATAACAAATTAATGTTTTCGAATTATAGATCGCAGTTCAGATATATATGTCACAGTATTTTAGTATACCGTATTTTTTAAAGCATTTTATTTTGATCGAACATTATAAATGTAACAACCGACTAAAGATTTTCTTTAGCTCATATTGTTTTTGTAGTGAATGTGTTCTCTAGAGATAGATTGAATAGTCCTTCATATTGTTTTTGTATTGAATGTGTTCTCTAGAGGTAGTTTGAATAGTTCTTCATATTGTTTTTATAGTGAATGTGTTCTCTAGAGGTAGTTTGAATAGTCCCTCATATTGTTTTTGTAGTGAATGTGTTCTCTAGAGGTAGATTGAATAGTCCTTCATATTGTTTTTGTAGTGAATGTGTTCTCTAGAGGTAGTTTGAAAAGTTCTTTATATTGTTTTTGTAGTTAATGTGTTCTCTAGAGGTAGTTTGAATAGTCCTTCATATTGTTTTTGTAGTGAATGTGTTCTCTAGAGGTAGTTTGAATAGGCCTTCTTATTGTTTTTGTAGTGAATGTGTTCTCTAGAGGCAGTTTGAATAGTCCTTCATATTGTTTTTGTAGTGAATGTGTTCTCTAGAGGTAGTTTGAATAGTCCTTCATATTGTTTTTGTAGTGAATGTGTTCTCTAGAGGTAGTTTGAATAGTCCTTCATATTGTTTTTGTAGTGAATGTGTTCTCAAGAGGTAGTTTGAATAGTCCTTCATATTGTTTTTGTAGTGAATGTGTTCTCTAGAGGAGGTAGATTGAATAGTCCTTCATATTGTTTTTGTAGTGAATGTGTTCTCTTGAGGTAGTTTGAATAGTCCTTCATATTGTTTTTGTAGTGAATGTGTTCTCTAGAGGTAGTTTGAATAGTCCTTCATATTGTTTTTGTAGTGAATGTGTTCTCTAGAGGTAGTTTGAATAGTCCTTCATATTGTTTTTGTAGTGAGTGTGTTCTCTAGAGGTAGTTTGAATAGTCCTTCATATTGTTTTTGTAGTGAGTGTGTTCTCTAGAGGTAGTTTGAAAAGTCCTTCATATTGTTTTTGTAGTGAATGTGTTTCTCTAGAGGTAGTTTGAATAGTCCTTCATATTGTTTTTGTAGTGAATGTGTCTCTAGAGGTAGTTTGAATAGTCCTTCATATTGTTTTTGTAGTGAATGTGTTCTCTAGAGGTAGTTTGACTAGTCCTTCATATTGTTTTTGTAGTGAATGTGTTCTCTAGAGGTAGTTTGACTAGTCCTTCATATTGTTTTTGTAGTGAATGTGTTTCTCTAGAGGTAGTTTGAATAGTCCTTCATATTGTTTTTGTAGTGAATGTGTCTCTAGAGGTAGATTGAATAGTCCTTCATATTGTTTTTGTAGTGAATGTGTTCTCTAGAGGTAGTTTGAATAGTCCTTCATACTTAATACACGTATTCAAAGACAGTTTCATAATAGAAACAATTGTGTAAAAGATATACCTAAAAGTACAAGATAAATAAAATAGCACACTATGTTGAAGCATATTTGATTGCTCGCCAAATTATGACAATGAGTATATTGAACTTTGAAAGATAGTTAATTCTATGGTAAATAGTCAAATAACAAGTACACAAGAATAAGTCGAGGAAGCTGAAGAAGGATAACCATGTACCAATAACACTTTCTTAAAAAGATAGGGCACAACATCTGGTATATCCTATTACACAACATCTGGTATATCCTGCTCTGGGCACAACATCTGGTATATCCTGCTCTGATTTTGAACACATATATAATAGATTAGAACCTAGGTGAATGTTGCCTTGACGATCCGCAAACCTTACTCTAGGTAGATACACATTTGAGCTAATTAGTGTAACATATGGGCTATCATGAGATATGTTACGTTTGGGCCAATGACAAGTCCACACTTGGGCTTAGTTTCAAAGTTTCATTTGGGCTAATCCTCCATTATACAGGTAAATTACAGGTATCATATCTATATTTTAATTATATATTAATATTTGATATGTAATTATAAATGACATTATTTTTATAACTCGTTCATGTTGAATGTACCCTTCAGTTTGACAAACAGTGTCTGCTCCTGCTCGACACGGTGAGGTGGAAGTGGGATTTTGAGCAAGATGAGTTTTATAGCACTAAATAACTTTTTGTTAACTATGTATAATGTGTAGATAACAGCTAGTCTTAGACATAAAAAGTACACACAATGGATTGTTCTCAAAGATTGGTTGTTGCCCGGAATTTAAAACGAACGGCCTTTTAAAACTGTAATCTTCTGATATCAACTCAAACTCGTAAACGTTTTTAAAATTATTCATAAGTGATATTTTATATATTTTATATCAAATACTACTACTGATATAAATAACTTTATTTCTGCAATTTACTTGTTCATGGTAGAAAAATTTATTAAGCCTAAATGTAAATTTGACCACAAAAATTTTAGCCTAAATGATACCATAGTCACGGTTATGATTTTGAACAGATATATCATGTTAAGGAGGGGTATTTGCGAAAAATACCAGTCGAGAGAATGTTAAATTTCGCGAGCCGTAAGGCGAGGGAAATTCATTCTCAAGACTGGTATTTTTCGCAAATACCCCTCAAGAACATGCTATATCTGTTTAATTACACCGAATGTTAACGTACAAAACGCATTGATGATCGTGACATAAAACGCATTGATGATCGTGACATTACAAGCGTCCAGTCGGATAGAGTATTTTTTGGCAAATACCACGGCAGAGAGGGTAAAAAAAGGCATATCCTTTTTGCATATACCCCGGCGCTGTTTAAAAATGAACGATATTCATTTGATAAAAGTAAATTGGTGAAAAATACACTGGCTATCAACCAATCAAAACCCAGGATTCTTACATAAGGTGTAATTAAGCCCAAAATGCGCCAACTCTACAGTGTGTAATAAAAAGCCAATCTGTAATAATAACATTTTTTGTTACTCGTTAGCGTTGATATGGTATATTGGCGCTAAATGAAATCCATTGATATAGTACATAATGGCGCTAAATGAAATCCGTTGATATGGTACATATTTATATTATCGCTAAATGAAATCCGTTGATATGGAAGATATTGCCGTAAAATGAAATCCGATGATATGGAAGATGTTGGCGCTAAATGAAATCCGTTGGTATGGTATATATTGGCGCTAAATGAAATCCGTTGATATGGTACATATTGGAGCTAAATGAAATCCATTGACATGTAAGATATTGCCGCTAAATGAAATCAGTTGATATAATAGATATTGGCGCTTAATAAAAATCCGTTAATATGGTATATATTGGCGCTGAATAAAATCCGTTGATATGGTACATATTGGCGCTAAATGAAATCCATTTATATGGTAGATATGGGCGCTAAAAGAAATACTTTGCTATGGTATATATTGGTGCTGAATCCATTGATATGGTACATATTGGCGCTGAATCCATTAATATGATAGATAGTGGCGCTAAAAGAAATACGTTGCTATGGTATATATTGGCGCTGAATCCATTGATATGGTACATATTGGCACTGAATCCATTGATATGGTACATATTGGCGCTAAATGCAATCCGTTGGTATGGTATATATTGGGGCTTAATGAAAACAATTGATAAAGTAGATATTGGCGCTAAATAAAATCCATTGATATGGAAGATATTGCCGCTAAATGAAATCAGTTGATATGGTAGATATTGGCGCTTAATGAAATCCGTTGATATGGTACATATTGGCGCTTAATGAAATCCATTGACATGGTAGATATTTACGCTAAAAGAAATACGTTGATAAGGTACATATTTGCGCTGAATCCATTGATATGGTACATATTGGCGCTAAATGAAATCCATTGATATTGTAGAGATTGGTGATAAATGAAATCCATTGATATTGATACGATAGATATTGACGCTAAATGAAATTTATTGATATGGTACATATTAAAATTGAAAATGGAAATGGGGAATATGTCAAAGAGACAACAACCCGACCAAAGAGCAGACAACAGCTAAATGAACTTCATTGATATGGTATATATTGGCGCTAAATGAAATCCATTGATATGGTACATATTGGCGCTAAATGAAATATGTTGATTAGGTTCTTCTTTGCGCTAAATGAAATCCATTGATATGGTTCATATTGGCGAGAAACGAAATCCATTTCTATGTTAAGTATTGGCGCTTACTGATATCCATTGCTATGGTACATATTGGCGCTAAATAAAAATATGTTTATAATATTCATATTGGCGATAAATGAAACAAAACGAAAATAAGCGTTAGCCATATCCTTATAATATATTTTTTCTCGTATAATATTGGCTATGCCTTATAGTATACTATGTCAATATGTTATCTACCAAGCTCTAAATACAATATAAAATTTGGTTTAGACTTTAAAACCTAATATAATCTTATAAAATTGTAAGCAGAAAGATTCAATGAGGGGTCTTTTCTGTGCTGTATGCCCTTAAATCCAGTATAACTGCTTAAGATTGTACATAATAAACAGGATACAGTTTCTGCTAAAAAAAACCTGTCAAAATTGGTATATTGTATGGAAAAAGTTGTAAATGATTATATTGGTTGTCACAGTCTGTACCAAAAAAAGAGAATTTATCTAAGGTCGTTTAACAATAATCTTAGACTGAAAATGTATTTAATACTGCTAAATGTTTAAATCTTAGAATCAATAAGAAAGCTTATTGTAATTACATACAATGTATGCTAAAATCATAGATTATCTATTGAACAAGGTCGTTTGTGGGGTGCTAAACGGGATAACTGTATTTGTGATGTATGTGATCTTCAATGTATCGGTGATGAATTTCATTATATTTTTGAATGTAATTTTTTCTGAAATAAATAAAAAGTCTCTACTACCAAACGTTTTATTTGTATAAACAAAATGTCGTAAAATGTTGTAAACTATTCAATAAAGATGATCTTGATAATGTTATCAAAATTGATATTTTTTAAATTATATTATCTGTGGTTAATTCCACATAAATTTTCTTCCAACAAATTTATTGTTAAATATAGGTATACAATTTACATCGTGTCTAAATACTTCATGTCATATATGAATGCAGTATATGTTATTTTATTGTTTGTATTCACATACCCAGTTGGGGTCTTTGAGTAATAAAAGTTTCAAAGTTACACAGGTAAAACATGTCTTTCCTATTTCAATTTCTTCCTTCCTGACCGGGCACTGAATGAATCGTTTTATTCCTTTCAGTGTATTGATATCACCCTTTATTCTAACTGTTCTTATTCATATCTCGGTTGGATTGAGTGATACACTTAAAGCAAATTGTATCGAGAGACTCTATACCAATGGACCTACTGGGAGCATGTCAGGAATCCTACACCCCAGCTTTATTAAAACTGCCCTTGAGAAATTGTCTCTTAATCTTCGTAAGGAACCTATACCACTGTGGTAATATCTTAATTGAGTAGAAATTACAAAAGATCTGAATAAAACACGAGTTTCTATGAAAGATCTAAACGAGACATATGTGTATAATAAGAATATACGATACTGCAAACCTTAAATGAAATCAGTGTTGATGAATTTATATAGCAACCGGTCAATTCTGAATTATTCTACAAGAATGGAATATCGACACAATGATATATATCTAGCAACCGGTCAATTCTGAATTATTCTACAAGAATGGAATATCGACACAATAATATATATAGCAACCGGTCAATTCTGAATTATCCTATCAGGATGGAATGTCGACACAATAATATATATAGCAACCGGTCAATTTTGAATTATCTTACCTGGATGGAATTTCGACACAATAATATATATAGGAACCGGTCAATTCTGAATTATCTTAAAGCCTACCAGGATAGAATGTCGACACAATAATAAACAAACAAAATCATCACGTATGTTTTAATTTTTCTTCTTTACTCTGTATATTTACACCAAGGATTATTCTGAATATAGGATTTTTCAACATAAATGTTTCAGATATAGTCTGATTAAATTAAATTCGAATTATCTGGACTTCTCAAACTATTAACACTTGCGTATCATTAAAAGATATGTAAAATATGTATATACCTATCTGTCAATATGGAATTTTGATTTAACGTGTAAATCCCAATAAATTTTAAGTTTATATGGTCTGTATCAAAATGCCGTATAGTAGAAAATTCCACCAAAAACTATATCACTCCTGATTTTGTTCCGTAGAATTCGGGGGTGGTGAACTTCCACTTTTTGCAACAATACTTTGAAGTTCGGATTTTTCATTTTTCATACTTTTAGAATGTTTGGACAGTCTTGTACTACTTTTGTTCGTTTTAGTACTATTTGTCATAATGCTGTCCGGTCCTTGGTTTGTTATTGTTCGTGATCCGAGCTGGACTCTAGACGCAGAAATAGATTCTACACGTGTGTCTGTTGGATATCCTGTATCAATTGTAGGCAGAACAAGGGGGGCTAACCCGTCCATACGTGGGGTATAATGTTCCAGTTGTATCGTTCCGTTAATACGTTGATTTTGCATTAATCGGGCTTTCTGCAATGAGTCCGTACTAGAGTGCACAGGATTGTTCTTCTTGAAAAGTACTGGTGATATCCGAGGTGGTCGTTCAAACTGAATAGGTGACCTGACAAAGTCAAACTTTCCTTGATTTTTAATGACACGTCGTGCTGGAAAATGTTTGTATGTTTTTTCATAAACCCCAGGAGTATTTGTACTGGTGGGCGACAAACTCCGAGGGTCTACAACATCCACTGCTCCCACATACGTCCTTTGTTTTGGTTTTGTCATAAAGTTTGTAGAATAAAATGTTACTTCTTTACTTTTGTTTTCTGAAGGACTTAAACTACACTTTGCTGATAGTTTTGACGACATGTCAGATACCTCTTGTTCTCGGCACCGTTGGTTCATTTCGGACAGAATCTGTTGCTGTTTTCCTAATCGCCTCTTTTCAAAACTATGCGACAGATCCATGATGGCGACTTTATCTGGTGTCGGCAATCTGTTTCTGGCATCCCTGTAATGCACCAATGTTTTCAAATGTTCACGTGTCGGATCCCTCAAAAACGAAGGAGCAGGCTCCACAGCTGCCTCCAGTAACGTGTGTGACTGAAATAATCTCATTGTGTATCACAAATTGTAACTGGTATTCCAAAACACCTCGTCTCAATAAAATTAAAAATAATTTGTTAAAATAACATAACTAACTAAAGTGATTTTACATTTCCACAATAGATTGAAATGAACTTAAATTATCCGGCTCATAAGTAAATCCTTATTATGGTTACGACTCCCAGAGATAATCCGTCAGACGATAATCTGTCGTGAATCCTAACTTTACACAGTTCAATCTGTGAACACACCGTTATATTGCCAGCTTTATTATAAACAACGCATTTAAAATTCTTTTATTTCAAGCAGTCTGTCAAAGAAGTATAAATGTTAAAATCCCGTTGATTCAAGCTTATTCATGATCATATACCGTGATCGTATCAAATTTCCAATTATTTTATTATTTAAAAAATCCAGTCTATACTTACTATAATGATTCAGTTACAAATTATTTAAAAATCTGTTCCATATATACGGTTATAATACATTTATATTGTTTATAGAAGGAATCATGCACTTAAAAAAAGTCAATTACATGTACATTCCTTTTTATTCTCAATATATTCCCAAAATCAATACAAGTATAATTTCACTTAGTAAAACTTAGTGAAATGTCTTATGTTTAGTTACCTAACATGATAACAGATAACAATCGTCATTAGGTAGCATTGTCCTTTAATGGACTTTATTGATTTCTACAAATATATCTTTTATATGACGAGGCGTGTCAGTTGGATAGGTCTATTTTACTGAAGATCTACAAAATATTTTGTCTGGTGGGATCTATGACATAACCCCCCCCCCCCCCCAAAAAAAATATAAAAAATGTAATATTTATTAAAATACTTGTGTGCAGGAAGCATATAAGTCGGATAAACACGACACCAAAGATCTTTTTTATAATTATCGTTTATAACACTACCCCTTTACTTTATTGGACAAATATATTTTATTTGAGAAACATCACAGAGGAACATTTCCTTAATAAAGTTTTCCAGTGAAGTGCTGAAATAAGCACATCTCATATTGATATGAACAAATAAAGAAAAAATAGGGATGTGAACTTCCGTCCTCGAAAATCAGCTAATTGTGTTTCGCAGTCTCAGTGACCTTGCAATCCGTGCTTTATCCAATTGGATCAGTCTCAGTGACCATGCAGTCCGCGCTTTATTCAATCGAAACAGTATCAGTGACCTTGCAATCCGCGCTTTATCTCATCGGATCAGTCTCAGTGACCTTGCAACCCGCGCTTTATCCAATCGGATCAGTCTCATTGACCTTGCAATCCGCGCTTTATCCAATCGGATCAGTCTCATTGACCTTACAATCCGCGCTTTATCCAATCGGATCAGTCTCATTGACGTTGCAATCCGCGCTTTATGCAATCGGATCAGTCTCATTGACCTTGCAACCGCGCTTTATCCAATCGGATCAGTCTCAGTGACCTTACAATCCGCGCTTTATCCAATCGGATCAGTCATATTGACCTTGCAATCCGCGCTTTATGCAATCGGATCAGTCTCAGTGCCCTTACAACCCACGCTTTATCCATTCAGATCAGTCCCATTTTCAATTCAGTCAGAGACATATATATTTCTCTGATTAATGTATTACATGTCCCTGATTCAGTTAATTTGAAAAAATTTTTTTTTAATTTGTTGTAGAGTTGTCTAGTTAATAGTTATGCCACATCAGTCTGGTGTTAGTTCTATAAGTGTTGTGTTTCTAATGACACTCAATATATCATTGAAGTCTCAGACAGAGAGGTTACAGGTTTAATTATTTAACGCTATTTTATTTTTAAACAATTAAAGGTTATTTAATCCACTATTAGCCTTAAACTCCTGATTGTTCTTTTCACTTGCGAGGTAGGGCATATCAAACTATTTTTTTTGCAGTTTTCACTTAACGATTTCCGGTTCTTAAGTTATAATCATAAATATTTTTATTTCTCACAACCCGAAAAGAATACCAACCAGACACCCGTACCCAACTATCCCTAATGAAAAAAAAACCAAAAACTAAAGAAAAACAGAAACAAACAGCAAACTAAATACAAACAGACCCCCCTCCCCCCTAAAAAAAAACAAAAAAAAAAGAAAAAAAAGGGGAAAAAAAGTCGCCTCATACTATTATTTTAAGACTTAAAGGAAAAAGAAAGAACACCTTGATTACAATTTTGGAAAAAACTAAAACTTTGCCGAGTATGTAGGTAATCGTTTTCTTAATATGAATTTATTATCACATTTCTGTATGCTTTCTTTCAAAGGAAAATTAATATATTTTCGCTCGCATTTTTCAATTTCTGAATATTCGTTTCTGGTTATTACTCTTAAAATTGTTATTAAAAACTGATTACTGGGAATAAGAGTAATATTTCCACTTTCTTTTCAAGTTTAAAAAAATGCAACATGCTTGATTAGTTGTTATAACCACTGGGTCAATGCAATTGCTAGTGGACGTTTTGTCCTCGAGACTACCACTAGCCCAATAGTTTTTGGCTTTGATTTCTGTAAAACAAAAAAAGAGTAGATTTAAGATACCAAGTTCAAAAATCATAAGTCCAATAAAAACAGACAATACCGGGGCCAAAAAGAAAAAAAAGAGTAGATTGAAGATACCAAGTTCAAAAATCATAAGTCCAATAAAAACAGACAATACCGGGGCCAAAAAGAAAAAAAAGAGTAGATTGAAGATACCAAGTTCAAAAATCATAAGTCCAATAAAAACAGACAATACAGGGGCCAAAAGAAAAAAAAGAGTAGATTGAAGATACCAAGTTCAAAAATCATAAGTCCAATAAAAACAGACAATACAGGGGCCAAAAAGAAAAAAAAGAGTAGATTGAAGATACCAAGTTCAAAAATCATAAGTCCAATAAAAACAGACAATACAGGGGCCAAAAAGAAAAAAAAGAGTAGATTGAAGATACCAAGTTCAAAAATCATAAGTCCAATAAAAACAGACAATACCGGGGCCAATACATCAAATAGAAAACTAAAGACTCAGCAAAATGAATCCCACCAAAAAACTGTGGGTGAAGTCAGGTGCTCCGGAAGGATAAGCAGTTCCTGCTTCACATGTGGCACCCGTTGTGTTGTTCAAGTAAGTACAAATCCGGTAATAAATCGGAAATGTTACAATCGAGAAGATGAGGAAGGGATCGTGGTTACAACACGTGGAACATATCTGTAGTCATATGTGACACATATGTTCCACAACGATCAACCAGACCATTACACCATCCGTAAACCTTTCGAAGGGATGACTTAAACTTAATCACTCGAAACCCTTGACGCAATAGCTTCCTTGTAAATGTACTGTTTATAACATGCTGAATTATTCGAAACACTAAAGTTTTCTACCCCAGACATAGATAGCCTTAGCCGTATATTGCACAACTTTTCTCAATGTTTCTCAACTTTAAATTTGATTTGGCCTTCCAAATGTTTTGATTTGAGTGTCACTGATAAGTCGTATGTTGACGAATCACGCATCTGGTGTACCAAATTATAAGCCTGGTATCTTTGATGAGTTTTTATATAAATGCAAATTGCCATAACGACCACTTTAGTACTGAGCCTTGATACTACATCTAGTTGTAAGAAATGTCACCATTCGCTGAGTACAGTTAATTAATTGTTGTTATTCTATCACAGTACTGAGTCTTGATACTACATCTAGTTGTAAGAAATGTCACCATTCGCTGAGTACAGTTAATTAATTGTTATTACTCTATCACAGTACTGAGCCTTGATACTACATCTAGTTGTAAGAAATGTCACCATTCGCTGAGTACAGTTAATTAATTGTTGTTATTCTATCACAGTACTGAGTCTTGATACTACATCTAGTTGTAAGAAATGTCACCATTCGCTGAGCACAGTTAATCAATTGTTGTTATTCTATCACAGTACTGAGTCTTGATACTACATCTAGTTGTAAGAAATGTCACCATTCGCTGAGTACAGTTAATAAATTGTTATTACTCTATCACAGTATTGAGTCTTGATGCTACATCTAGTTGTAAGAAATGTCACCATTCGCTGAGTACAGTTAATTAATTGTTATTACTCTATCACAGTATTGAGTCTTGATGCTACATCTAGTTGTAAGAAATGTCACCATTCGCTGAGTACAGTTAATTAATTGTTATTACTCTATCACAGTATTGAGTCTTGATGCTACATCTAGTTGTAAGAAATGTCACCATTCGCTGAGTACAGATAATAAATGGTTGTTATTCTATCACAGTACTGAGCCTTGATACTACATCTAGTTGTAAATATATCACCATTCGCTGAGTACAGTTAATCAATTGTTATTACTCTATCAAGTTTTTATAAGAAAGTTATGATATCAACTTAATCAGAAGCAAAAGTGACCTTGCACGTTTTTTGTTTTTTTGCTGCTTTTTCTTTTTGTAAGTTTTCACACCGTTGTCAAATCAACATTTAGGTTAAGAAATTAATCTAGGCAAATATTTGAAAGGTTGTTAATAAAGTTATGATTGAATGACCCCTTCACATATACCTTTTATTGAAGGAGATATGTCAACATAATTTACATTAAATTTAAAATTCTAGTGTTACATGAAAATAATTAGGAACCTATTCTAAGTTATTCGGTTCTTGCTAAGTATCAATCAAATATAAAAAGAAAAGAATGCAAATGGACACTTTCACCATTATTTTACTAAATGATGTTAATTTAAACATCCATTTGGAAAGCACATCTTAAATTGAGGACGTCCGTTTGGCATATCGATACATACATGCTCGTGTCTAGTAAACTTTTTTCAAGTCGCACTGGCACTACAAAAGTCTAAAAGTCTGAAAAGACCAGTTTTTGTCTTAATTTGCATGAACTTTTACTCGACATTCTCCAAAAGTATGACTTGTGTCTTAATTTTTCTTGACAAATTCTCATTTATATTAAATTTGTATGAAATTTACTCGACATATTCTCGACATTCTGACAATGGTCTAAAAATTTCTTGACAAATTCTTGACATTTGAATACTGTCTTGATATTTCTCGAAATATTCTCGACATTCTTATTTTTTCTCAGTATGGCTTGACATATTCTGAACATTTTGAAGGTAAAACGGTAAACGGACAGAAAGTCACAGGACAAAAAGTCACAGGACATAAAGTCACAAATTTGATAGGACAAAAAGTCACAGGACAAAATATGGAAAGCCTCAGCTGTCATATATTAGATATTTAAAGAACGTTATGCTGAAGCTTAAAATGTAAAGTTAAGACAGCGTGATGTTGAATTGAGTCATCAAAATGCTAACTCTAAATTACAATATGCTAAGTTGAATTTCCGCAAT